CCCCCCCCAACAAATCCCTTCTCGTTAAGTGGAAAAATTAGAAACTGAAGCAAAGAGTGAATGATTAAAGGACAAAATAACGCTTCGTATAAAACCACAGAAGGAAAATAATTGGGGGTGGGAGGAGGGGGGGGGATGAATTGGGTCTGCCTGTGAAACTGCTGATAAAACCATAGAAGTGGGGTCAAAAAAGGGTCTGATTTACTGGGTTCCTTCAGCATTTTTGCCCAGTAAACGTTCAGGTGTTGGGAATGATGGAATTTCATCCATCCATGGCGGGAAGGGGGAGCTGTCCCAGGAGCAGAGTCAGGCACAGAAACCACCCCCCTGCCAGAACTGGAAGAAGAGCCCATTTAGGTACCAGGGGAATCATTTCTACCCACCTTTCCAAGCCATTTCCTTGGAAAACCATCGGTTTTGCTGGGAATTGGGTCGTCTTTTAGGCTGGGAAGCAAAAATCCAGCTCTTTTCTTCCTCCACAGAGGGTTGCTCATGTGCTGCTCCATGAAAACCAGGCAGGGGAAGGGAAGGAAACCCTGGAGATGTTAATGATAACCATAATTCTGGGAGATTTGTTTGTGGGGACTCAGCAAAGCAGCAGAAATGGTTCAAATAACACCCCAAAATGTGCCATTTTTTGACCAGTTCCCTCCACCCTTTGCTCTGGGAGGTGATTTAGAAGGAAAACGTGTGGCTGGAAGGAGGAGTCTGGTGGGTTTTCCTGCCCTTAAAAGGAATTCTAACCAAAATATTTGGGATTTGGAGGGATAACCTGGAGGTGCAGCCCGCGGGGGAAGATGATTTTGCTTCTATTTTTAAAACCAGCCGAGAGAACACCAAGGAAACAGCCCAAACATCCCAGGAAACGTTGGCTCAGCCTCTGGGGAGGAACCCCATGAGGTCACCTCTAACCTCATTCCAAGCTTCATTTTTTAGCTTGGAGACATTTTTAAGAGGCAAAAAAAATAATAAATAAATAAACCCAAACCCAAAACAACCAAGATTTTTCAGAGATGGTGAAGGAACTGCTAGGATCCCAGGAATTCTGGGTGGATTCCAAGGGGTTTTCACAAAACTGGTGCCTGTGTATTTGTCCTGTTTTGTTTTTTTCTTATTGAAAGTGGTTTGAGTTGTAAAACGTTTGGTTTTGTTTGTTGTGATTGTGGGGTTTTTTTTGGAAAAACAAAATGGAAAGCATTGATAGTTTGAATTAAAGCCCTGGGATTCAAGGTTAAATAACCAAATCACCATAAATAGCCCCAAAGTGCAAGTTTTTTGAAGGGATGGAGAACGGGGGAAACAACAGAGCCCAGAGGGTTGGGATCAGTGGTGCAGAGTCCAGATGGACACTTGCTGGTTTTCCCCAGGGATCAGTACTGGGACCAGTAGCAACCAGATGGAATGAAACAGATTTTCTTGGTCATGGTTGTTCTGCTTGGGCAGGCGCCCCAAAATATGGGACACTGGGGACAGGAGGGGTTGGGTGACACATGCAAGAGACGGGTCACCCAGTTCCTGGAATTCCCATGGCTGGATTATTCCACAGAGGTCTGGAAAAGAATGAAGAACCTGGTTTTGAAGGTTGGGAGGAATCTTGTTGGTCTTCCTGTGGTGTAATGATCCCACCAGATGGAGCAGAACTGGGGTGTTGGGATCTGGGGGCAGCAGATCCAAGTGGGAATCCCACAGCTCCAGTCCAGGGCGTGCCATATTCCCACAGGTTCTGCTGGTACCGTGGGGAGCTGGGCAAACCAGGATTGTCCTTCCAGGTTCCCACTATGGAATGTTAGCTGGTTTGACTGGAAATGTCCCAAGGTCAGGCCCAGCCTGTGGTGCTGCTAATGAAGGGCAGAGCAGCCCTTGGGATTAGCTGCTATTCCGGGAGGGACAGGGCTAAAAAGGGGCTGCAGGACAAGGAGTCAGAGCTGCCAGGTGGCTGCTTAGAGCAGAGGGATAAATGGATAATTCCTGCCTTTCACTTCCAATTAAGCAACTCCCTTTGTCTTCATCGAGGGAGGGAATGAGGGAGGGAGGGAACAGCACCTTCCTGAGCTCTGAGATCACCTCTTCAATTTCATTTCCCTCCTCAGAACACTTTGGGTCAGGGGCTCACCAGCTTCACAGCAAAGAATTTCTTCCTCATGTCCAACCTCCATTCTTCTAGGGAAGCTGTGGCTGCCCCAGCCCTGGAAGTGTCCGAGGGCAGGTTGGATGGGGCTTGGAGCAGCCTGGGCTGGTGGGAGGTGTCCCTGCCCATGGGGGGGTTGGATCTAGATGGTCTTTATGTTCTCTTCCAGCCCAAACCAGGCTGTGATTCGATGATTCCACAAGCCAGGCTGGGAGAGTTGGGGTGTTGAGCCTGGAGAGGAGAAGGCTCCAGGGAGACCTTAGAGCAGCTTCCAGGGCCTGAAGGGGCTCCAGGAAAGCTGGGGAGGGACTTGGGCCAAGGGCAGGGAGGGATGGGATGAGGGGGAGGGATGAAAAGTGGGAGAGGGAGCTGGAGGTTGGAGCTGAGGAGGGAATTGTGGAGTGTGAGGGTGGGGAGAGCCTGGGCCAGGTTGGCCAGGGAAGCTGTGGCTGCCCCATCCCTGGGGGTGTTGAAGGGCAGGTTGGATGGGGCTTGGAGCAGCCTGGGCTGCTGGGAGGTGTCCCTGCCCATGGGGGGGTTGGATCTGGATGATCTTTCAGGTCCCTCCAACCCAACCCATCCCATGATTCCATCAAGCTGCCCATCCCCGTGGGTCTCTCAGAAACCCAGGGCGCTCCAGACGATGTCGCCTCAGAACAAAGAGGGAGGGGGGAGGAAGAAGAAAGAAAAAGACCAACAACCCACCGTCCCAGGGAGGTCGGGACTCGGAGGGACAGAACGTTCCTTCTTTTCTGGACTTTTCTCTGCCCCTGACATGATAAACAATCCTTTTGTGTCCGGGATAAACAAGGGCTCGGGACAAAGGCGGCGATTCAGGCGGGATCAGCTGAACGCGCCGCATGACGGGCCCCGCTCCCACCCTTCCCAACCCTCCTCTCCAGGGAAACCTCCCTATTCCCGGTGCTTCCCGCCATCCCGGGGGTCTTCTGGGTTGGTTTTGGATGGACGTGACCTCCTGGCCCCAAGGATCAACCAACCAATCAACCCACCCCCCCTTGCAATGGCTCATTTTTTGGCCCCGGTGCCCACAGCGCTGGGAATTCCGAGCGCTGGGAACGCCGGGCACAGGTGGATGTTCCATCCCAGCCCCCCCCGGCGTGGAGGGGGGTGTTCCCTGCTTGGGGGGGCCCCACGGTGGGGCCACTGTGTTTATGGCAGCGATTCCCAGCGGGAATTGGCCTCCGGGGATCAGGTGCCTTCCCCGAAGCCTCCTGGGTCGGGGGGCACGGGCCCCATGCTGGGGTTATGGGCCCCACAAAGGTCCCACAAATGGGGTGCAAGCCCCAAACTGGGGGTTCAGGCCCCACACAGGGGGTACAGGCCCCACAGGGGCAGTTTTAGGCCCCACAAATGCCCCAGAAATAGGGTACAAGCACCAAACTGGGGGTTCCAGGCCCCACACAGGGGGGTCAGGCCCCCTACTGGGGGTTCAGACCCCATATTAAGGGGGTTCAGGCCCCACAGGGGGGTTCAGCCCCACATTCAGAGAGTTCAGCCCCACATTCAGGAGAGAGTTCAGACCCCGCATTGAGGGGGTTCCAGCCCCACAGGGGGGGTTCCGGCCCCACATTGAGGGGGTTCAGCCCCACATTGAGGGGGTTCAGCCCCACATTGCAGAGGTTCAGCCCCACATCCAGGGGGTTCAGGCCCCACAGGGGGGTTCAGCCCCACATTCAGAGAGTTCAGACCCCGCATTGAGGGGGTTCAGACCCCACATTGAGGGGGTTCCAGCCCCACAGGGGGGGTTCCGGCCCCACATTGAGGGGGTTCAGCCCCACATTGCGGAGGTTCAGCCCCCCATCCAGGGGGTTCAGCCCCACATCCAGGGGGGTTCAGCCCCACATCCAGGGGGTTCCCGCCC